TATATATATATATATATATATATATATATATATATATATATATATATATATATATATATACATTGACATGTAATTTAATATGTTATATATATGACCTGTAAAATCTAACCGGCAACCTACATCGGATGATGCCAATGCGATAAAAAACACGAATAATTTTGGAATATAATATCTTTATGTGCGAAATCATATACATAAATTCTTTTCTTTTTTTTTAATTGGAAGGGGAAGATCTTTATGATCCCGTAAATTAATTTTACAAAATAGATTTTGTCAGTTCTATAGATCTCATTAAAATATCTAATATTTGCTATAAAAATCACGTCTTCTTTTGGGGAGATAACGGGGCGAGGATGTTATAAAACAAAACTCTAATAATTACTTTTTATAGAGTAGACATTTTAGAAAATAAGAAGAAGATGTTTGTATGACGATTTTTCACAGAGCAATGTCTATTCAAATTTTACCTATTTTTGCCTATTTTTGCCTAACTTTTTAATGTTATATTTCTTTTAAATAATATGTTACGTATGTGAGAAATAAAATAAAATGTATTTCTTTATTTTAAATGTTACCTTAAAATTATGAAGATAGCCTATACTTGGACCTCTTTTTCAAACAATGTAAATTTCCTTTTCTTTTCAGAAAAGTGTGAATATATAACTTAAAAATCGATCATTTTCAAACATTCTCTTCACAAATATAGAAACAGGTATTCTATTTGCACTGGATAGAAAATATATTTGCCCACAGAAAATTTAAACATTTTAAGATATAAAGATAGAAAAGCGATAGCCCGTATACTTTTTCTCTACACACGCCGGCGATGATATCGACTTATCATGCGTCCGTCCAAGACGCTCGGTACGATTCGCTCTTTAAAGACTGTTCTAGAACTCTTTGTCACGTTAATTTAAGAAGTGAGGCATTCGAGCGCGAGAAGTTGCCTTAATACGGTGAAGTAGTTCCTCTAGGCATACGGTTATGCTGATAATGGCGACGAGGTAGGTCAGCAAAGAAGCGATAAAACTTCCTCAAGAGCTTCTTCCCTCTTTTGCCTCTCTCTCTCCCCTCCTCTTCTCTCTCTCTCTCTTTCTCTCTTTCTGTGCGACACAACAATGCCGTTCGAAACTCCTTTATGGACGGTTACGCTCCTCGCCGCGACTAGTAAATGACTTCGTCTGGTAGTAGTTGAGCTACGTCTCACGATGGACGATGACTCGTAATGAAAGAGTTGGTACTCGAGTATTCAGGAGGAATCGACAAACATCACATCGTTATTTAAGACAAAAGAGAGTATCTCTTTCTTTCTGTCTCTCTCTTTCTCTCTCTCTCTCTCTCTCTCTCTCTCTCTCTCTCTCTCTCTCTCTCTCTCTCTCTCTCTCTCTCTCTCTTTTTCTTTCTCTCACATGTGCATCACGCCGTTAATTTATTTGATCAGAATTGTATTCTTCGTCTGTCGAAATTTCATCACTTCCGACAAATTTAAGTGGAACGCGATCGATTGAGTTTCCTCGTATTCGTTAACGCTTTAAATATGAACGATGCATAAAGTGTGTCGGGTCGTAGCAACAAGTTTTCGTCTTTGATGCGAGAGTCCAGATGAATAGTGCGCTTATATCGGACCTTTCTGTTGCAGAACAATTGCACGTGATTTATCGCGCGCGTTTCGCAATTAAATCGTCCCGAATTTAATGCGTTTGGCAGCTCGGCAAATAATTTGGTTTGTTCTGCTTTGACGTTTGTACTGACCGGACTGAATTCGATACGAGAGCGCGTATTATATTAATTTAGTTCAATAGCGTTTGTGAATTTTCTCGGAGGCACATCTAATCAAGTTTCTAAATTACGCGAGTAATTCCATTTCAGTCTTTCTTCTCCTCTTACTATCAATTTATAAGTTTATTTTTTCAACGTGGAAATGGGTTCTCACTTTGAGTGACGCGCAATCATCGAAAGTGTCAAACTTGATTACCCTCTTGTGATCGTGCTTCGTTATTCGAAAACGTGCAATCGTAATTGTGAAGCGAGACGTGTCGTACGTAAGCAAGCTAATGTCGTACAGACATAAGAATTGTTCATTAAATGCTAATTTAGACAATCCATCATCCGGCTCAGACTTCACAGCACGACGTCTACTTTAAGCTGTGACATACTCATACATTATGCATTGGTATGAGGTATCTAAAATCAATGGTAAGTTAAAAATAGTATGGAGAACTAAGTAAACTTAGCTGATGCGTAAAATAATGCTCGATCGCTGATCCCAGTGAGATTGCTAAAGAGAAAGGAAAAGTGAAGAAAGAAAGAAAAAGAAAGGGGAAAGGACAGAGGAAGAGAGAGGAGGAGAGTGAGGAAACATCGGTCACAATGTTAGAACAGAAGTGTCGATAAACAAATAGAAGAGATGTGTCCGAGTAAAGTTACGATTTTATATTATTACCGAGTGTTTCTCCACGTAACAGTTTATGATTTTTCCCGAATAACCCGGTTTACGATTAGTCTGCATTGCGACTATCGATGGACCGGAACCTGTAGGTGCTCGCGGATTTTCCATAACCCTAATTTTCCAACAACACAGAATCGCAAGGCTGGGAAGCAGGTTAACTGCAAAGTCCTTCTATTTCCCATTTCGCATAAGATTTATTTTCCTTTGCACAAAAGCGTTCCCTCTCTGAAAATTTGTCTGATTTCTCCGCCGATACGATCTTTTTTTTTTTTACTTCGGATATGACGTGTCGTAAAACTTCTCGCTTTTTTATAACCGTTTACTGTTGTTTGCGATCGAACACTCGCTAGCCCATGCGAAATTCAGAATTTACTGTGAGCCTTGCGAGTGACGACTTGTACTCTTGTTATATTCTTTCGTAAAAAAAAATAGCTGCTCTCCTGCGATTTTACAGCAAACGACCAATTTTACAGCATTTCTCCAATTATCGAGACGAAAGTTTCTGCTCCGAGGAAATTTTTTACCTGGTTACAAATCATTCTCGCCAATTCTTTCACTATTTCTTGGATTTGTCACTTCTTTTATGTGTTTACTTAGTAGCTCGATAACGAGACGGATTCTGCCTCGCGAAAGAAATCGAGAAATTCACGTGTTTCTGGAGCTAGTACGACGTTTTAATAATTTGGATATCGCACGGGGAGAGATTGCTCACTGAACTTTTGTCACTTATGACCTTTTCCGCGATAATGTGTCATGCTGATGGATAAGCTTAAAATTGTTTGAGGAATATGTAATGAAATAGCGTTTGAAAATGATTCAGTAGCATATAATTCGAGTAGAACAAGCCAGAAAGACCATCAGAATTGCAGGAAATCCACGACACGACATATTTTTGCACATTTTCGCACTCGGGTCGATATTTTGCAAAAATAAGTCGGGCACGATATTAAAAAATGTGGAGGAAATTATTAATTGCTAGAATTTTGTTCTAAAATGTAATTATAGAAATTGCATGGAACTGATGAAAACTCATAGTATTCATAGCTGGCATCTTGTATTTTAAGGGAGCACAATACCTTAGTACCGCAGAACTATGAGAAATGATTTGTGTGTAAGTGAAACCTTCAATGTTTTTTGTAAATTATTAAAATGTCGTGTCAGGTTTACACGGAATCCTTTTCCCGTGTTGGCGCTGGTTCAACAGTCAGTGATAAGCTCGAGACACTTGAGATATACGACTTCCAGTCACGACTAATATTTGAGCCGCGACTCGAAGTTTCGCGCCAATCGTGGCGTTCCGGGCAACTTGAAGGCGAAGATACGAGCAGCTATTGCTGTGGGGACGACACGAGACATGCATTACAAAGAGGACGTGTAATTTATTGTTAAAGGGGTGGACAAGGCGTACGATGCTTAGGGATGCTTGGACGAACGACGGTGGGAAAGGCTGGTGGCGATGGTGGTCCAGGTTGGGCGGATTGCTGGCGATGGCGGCGGCTATATCCTGTCTCGTTGCCTCGTTTCCGGGTGCCTCGGCCAATCCGGAAGCGAAGCGTCTCTACGATGACCTGCTGTCGAACTACAACCGCCTCATCCGCCCTGTTGGAAACAACAGTGATCGTCTCACTGTCAAAATGGGACTACGCCTCTCCCAGCTCATCGACGTTGTGAGTAGACCTCCACTTCACCCATTATCCTGCCGCATGAATAGCATTTATATGGCCTATGTATAGACGCGCGGGGGGCTTGCGCCCCCAGGATATGTGGAGCAAGAGTGCTCGGTTGTGAAATAACCCGAAGTGTTTCATCGATTGGCTCGGGCTAGATGAAATGATATACGGATACGGCCGGCGATATTTTTCCCGGTGAAAGATACGCGCCGTTCGCAAACAAAACTTTTCATTTGTAACTCCTGAGATTGAGCGATCTATGGCCCCGGCGCGCGAAATTCAGTTATAACCTCCTCCGTTACACTTCGCAGCCATTCACGCTCCTTTCTCCGGCCGCGTTACGACGACGGCGGATAATAATAGTAATGGCGATTATTACCCGCGGGGACAATTTCAGTTTTACGTGGAAATTGTGCGTTCCAATGGACGAACTGATGAACATTTCACGACTGATTGAGTTAATGCTTAATTCGCGCGATTAAACATCGCTAATGGTTAAGCGAGCTTATCAGAATTACTTTCAACGCGGCTGGGGCAAACAAACGCGCGCGCGCTACGCGATTTGGTAACGTGTAATGAAGTTTGGATATGCTATGCAAAATAGACGTCAATTATCTCGAGACCGCGAGCAGCGCCGGCAATTTCGCGTTTCTCAAAATTGAATGTGCACCGTGACGTTTTCGTTCGCGCGCGACGATGCTCTTCGCGCCTATGCACCTATCTCGTCGACCGACATTCGTTTCCAACGTGTGCGCATGTGTGTACTCGCGCTGTATGCGCGCGTGTGTATATGTGCGCGCGCGCGCGCGTGGAATATGGATTACGTAGTTAGACGACCGATAACCGGGCGTCCACGTACTTGCGGTGATAAGTTGAATTCCGGGAGTTCCTCTGCCGGAAACGGAACTAATTTACAAGCGAAGGGATCCATGGCACTCGAGCTATTAATTGCCATAATCTGATCGTCAGTAATCAATCGTGTCTCAACGAGGCTCGCTCGAAACTAAACATACGTACACACGTACGTACGTATGCTCGCATGTATGTATGCAGATATGTACGTGCGTGTGCGTACACGTGTATGCACACACATAAGCGCGCACGCAGGCGCGCGCGACAGGACACCAGCCGGCCGATCGATGTGTTAGAATTACGGTGATTGTCTCCCTTCCCCGCATTGTCTCGCCGGTTATTACATTCGAGTTACATGCTCACGAGTCGACGCGAATTTCGGCAGTAATTGCCTCGATCATGGATCTCTATCGACTAATACACGTTTCTATCCAAACCATAATTAATTTGTTATCGGCTAACCCGGACTACTGTCGCGCGTTATCGATGCAGTATCGACGTTTGTACGAGTCTCATATAATTACGACAGAGGAGGGAGGGTCGATGCTGGCCACGTCGAGACGGGGCGACGCGAGCTCTCGAGGTCGACCTTCTATCGACCGTCGGAATAGTTAATTCCGTTATTTTGCGTTATCATGCGAGGCAGAGGGAGAGAGACAGAGAGAAAGAGAGGAGAGAGGAGGGCAGGGAGGATAGTGAAATTTTCAATAATTGCATGGCGGCTCCATCAGGCTTCTTTTACTAACTAGCGATAATTTCTAACAAAAGCCGATTTGCAGTTTCACATATTTGCGCCCGGGACTTTTTCTCCCGTGACGCGAGAATATAATAATCGCCGGACACGAGAACGGGAAATTGTCCATTCGGTTATAACAGGTTTGCGCGACTATGATGTTTATGATCCGCTCAAAACTGTGCGGCCGCCACGCGTTGCGGTGAAGCGCATAACTTTTCACCGACGACAAATCCCCGCGGCGAGGGCGTGTAAACAGTAATTATCGCGATGGTACACGCAACTCGAATTCGTTCGCCATGTATATACGCGCGCGGTGTGCACGTCCATAGAATTTATGAATCAATCGCACGACTCGATCGTCGGATTACCGATAAAGATAACGCGAGAAATAACAAAGCCCGGGCTTGATCGCGTTTTTGTGTTCAAAGCGATGCGTGATATAAAAACATAATATCAAACATCGACAATATCATGAGATGAGATCGACTCGAATCGGTCGAAAAAATCGACTCGTTTGAAAACGCAAATTCGTGTTTCGACCATAAAGTGGTATGTCTGACATTAAGTGCACGGAGAAAAAGGGTTTGGTGGAATTAACGTGACATGTTTGGCTAAACAAGTTTTAGTGGAGTTAAACAGAATTTCTAGTTATTATAATGAGATATTCTAGTATGTAATTCTAGTAGAGCATTTAAATGTAATACTAGTCAGAATGTAGTTACTGCGAACACAGTACATCGAAGTATCTGACTATTATGACTATGCAGAAAGATGGTTGCATTAACGTGATATTTTGGTTAAACGACTGTTAGTAGAATTAAGCAGAATTTCTGCATAGAAAGAAGATATGGTACATAGAATTAGAAATATTTAGTTGTCTGATTACCTTAGTCGGAATTATGAAATGTTTATTTCTCATCAAACAATTTAGCTAATGTATCCAGAAAAAGAGAGAAAGAGATTTCAGGGTAATTTAATTAATTTCTTTCCCATGTGACAAAATGCTTGTGTCTAGAAAGATTATCCGTAATTTTTGAGCTGTGTTTGTAAACTTATCCGCCTTGTTCAATGGAGAAATTCTCTTATTGAAAAACGAATTCTCTCCCAATGGACAAGACAAAGAATTCACAAACTCACTTCACAAATTGCAGACAACTTTTCTATCCATAATCATACATGCATAGATTACATCAAAATGAATATAACATTCTCCTATCATTTTGCAAACTGCATACAATTTTAAGTTATTAATTAAAAATTGGCGAATAATCGCGATGTAGTATAAGGTGTGACGATAAGTACGATTTCTACTGTGCTTGTATATTGTATGCTTTTTTGTTCAGCTTGTAAGTTAAGCTACCATTTGGAACATAACCACGTAGATTTTTAAATTATTAATTAAAAAAGTTATTAATTAAAGGATTAATTAAAGCGTGAAATTATGCACGACTAATCGCTAATCTTTCTGAATTAATAACTAAAAAATGTTACGGTTATTAGCAAAGTGGTAGAGGAATTTTGTGTTCAGTATAACTTAATCTGTACATGTGCGTTTTCCCACTCATCGTTAGACGCCTTGTATATGTAGGCTGCGCCTTCTAATGAGAGGTTAGAAGACAAGTTTTGAAGGACACAGCTATGTTCCATTATCCACAAGCATTCCGTCTTTGTCTAGCTTGACTCCTATTGGACAAAGCTAAACGAAATGTCCAATAGGAGTCAAGCTAGACAAAGATTGAATGTCTGCACTAACAGGACATTCTTTTCTAATGAAGTATTTGCATCCTCTTGTCTCTGAACGCTCTGTCTATGTACATAAGTCTGTAGCTCCAAGCAAAAATTGAATCTAGTGATTGTCTAATAATAACATAGAAAAGTTGGGTCTTATGAGCCCGCTGGGACGTCGTTCCTCCGCGACCGATCTCGCTACTTTGAACTTCGAGAATCGTCCGTTAGTGCTATCATCCGCGCGAAATTTCACGAGCTTATTCCTAAAAATGTATCTAGTAGAGCAGATTTCAAGAATATTTAGCCAGTCACTAACTCGTGACTGGCTAAATATTCCTACTCAGTCTTTTGAATGTCAGGATTATCTAGTACTATACCAATTGCATAGATAGTGGCTAGATGAAAATCGCTACTAGCTAGGAATGTAACGCTCACTTCTCCTAGTAGCTGTACCAGAAAAATTATCTAGTAGCTAGATACAAAAAAATAACTTGTAACTATAATTGGTACAGTTACTAGATAGTTTTGATATCCAATTTCTATTCAGGATTTACCGATGATTTTCTATCTTGTTAATGTGTAATCTTTTTCATCTAGCCACTATCTATGCAATTGGTACAGTTACTAGATAATCCTGACATTCAAAAGACTGAGTATGAATATTTAGCCAGTCACGAGTTAGTGACTGGCTAGAAAACTTATCTAGGCATTACTATCTAACTACTAGTCTGCTGAAATCTGCTCTACTAGATACATTTTTGCTTGGAAATGAGCTCGCGAAATTTCGCGCTGATGATAGCACTAACGGACGATTCTTGAAGTTCAAAGTAGCGAGATCGGTCGCGGAGGAACGACGTCCCGGCGGGCTCATAAGACGACTGATTCCCCACGTCGCGCCGAGTGTTCGGCCATTATTTACACGGCCTCCTTTTCAAAGGAATCACCTCCTTGGAACCGCGCTTGTTCTTCACGGAACAACCTAGCAGCCACCTACCCATCTCTCCCTCCACCCTCCCGCCAGTCACCCTCTCCACCTGCGGGGCGCGCGCTCGCTTCGATTCTACTGGGATTTACGAGCGGCAACGGCGGCAGACAGCGAGATTGACTTTTACTTCTGCGGGTGGCTGCAGCTCGAAATCACGCGGGCTTCTTTCCTTTATTGCGAAAGGATTTTCTCTGTTGTGTGTAGAACGTGAGGAATCGCGGGGGCCGCGAGAGCTTTTTATTCGGCGATGGTAAATTACGCTTCGATCGTTACGGCCCGCGTGCGGAACGCGGATAAACCGCCTTTAAGAAATCAATATCTCCGCGTTAAGCACTATAGATGACGTTTTATGGCTTTGAGACAAAAGAGAGAGTATATTACATTCGCACACATAACGACGCATCTAAAGGCTCTTCTCCTCCTTCTGTCGCTCCGCGTTTTTCTTCTTATTACTATTTTCCAGGCAATTTTCTTTCCACTTTGCTTTATGTTTTGTCTCCTGTTTATTCCTTCCTAAGAGCCACGATAAAATGTTTCCATTGTGCTGCGCCTAATTGTCAAAATGATTTGACAGAAACGCATCGAGACACTCGAGAAATCTTCTAATTTATGAAATTCCTTCTTATTAATAATCTTATAATGTCACACATTTTTATGTTTATTTCTACATTTATTATTCATATTAACATAACATTT